CCCCCCTGGGGAGGGGGCTTTGCTGCCACAGAGCCGCCGGGTTCCCCCTGCAGAGGGGTCTTTGCTGCCACTGTGTAGCAGCCCCCCCAGAAGTGGGTCTGCAGCCCCTGCTGGCCCCACTTGCAAGGCGGCTTCGCTGCAGGCTCTGCAGGCAGCTTCCCAGGAGGAGGGCTGGCAGAGACGCCAAGCTGGGCCCAGCCTGCGGTGGGCCCCATGCAGCTTGGAGTAGCCCCGGCCTGGGGCAGGCAGGGAGCTGCTCCAGGCCCTGTGGTTAACTAGAACCGGTGAGTATTGCCCATTTTGGGTGATGCTTGCCAGTTAACCTTTCACATCCCTATCATCTACCAAACCCACGGGCTACCCCCATCACAACTGAGGGGTTCCCTCCCCACCTTCCAAAGCAGTTTTACCCAGCTACCCACTCAGGAGGGTGCACGGGACACCCTGAATCCTGAAGAGATGGCCCAGACAGACAGGAATTCTTTAGAAGTCGGGGATGCAAAAATGCTTTACCAGGGTTACTACTTGCCTCTTACACATTAAATGTTTCACAACTTCTTCTATGGCCCCTATGAAACAAATCATTGCCCAACCCATCTTCTAGTATGAAATACTGACCAATGCCAGCGCTCTGCGCCAGGCACCACACTCATGCTGGAGAGAGACGTCCCCCACAATGCTTTGCTGCAGATCAGGTTTGGTTTTAAAACTTATGAAGACATGAGTTCAGCCGCTCCTTGCTGTGGCTGTCATCCAGCAGACAGAGGGAAGACTCGTCTGTTGACGGAACCCCATCGTTTCCAATACACTTCCAGGTTTCCCTGGGAAATATTGCTTCTAGGCCTAACCTTAACCCTGTTTAAACATGGTTATGAAACATCCACGATCCAACCTTACTAAGTCTGGATTTGCGCTGTTGTGTGGAAAGACTCGACATGCTTAAATCGTGTTTAGGAATTATTTTAGCCTATGTATTTACCATCATTAAAACAGTTTCCATTATGGCTAATGGAAAAACAATCTCTTGGGTCTTTTTAAGGTGTCTATAACGATGGTAACTAGACAGCAGTGTTAAAACAGAGGTGGAGAACAATCACATTTCAACCTGGGTTTGGGAATGGTCCCAGGATGCGTTAGCTGCATAAATCAGAGTACGGTAGAACAGATGGATCCTTTACTGTGGGTCTGCGTGTTTTCCCCATTCTAGCTGTAGTTGGGTTTTGCTGCCATTTACTATCACTGGCAATTCAAGGGAGTTGAGTGACAGAAGAGGGCTACGGTGCCCGGTTAGTTACTGCGGGACGCAGCTCTGAGACTGCCCGTGTTCAGTGTGCCCCAGGTACTCACAGGTGCAGCTCTTCAAAGCTTTTTACGGAGAAGAGAGGGGAGCTGGGATCTCGCTGCAGGACTTCAACATGATGACTGGATTCTACCAGAGAGTTCCGGATAAGCTTGTTTAAAAGGGAATTTTCTGCTAAATCCACTGTGAGCATGAAAAAAAGAGCAAAGGAAACAGTTCACCACACCTGGCAGGCTGTAGAAAAGTCACAGCTTAACTCTTGCATCTGAAATGCTACAAAAGGAGAGTTTTTAAAACCAAAAAATAAATAAGGTCCCAGAAAGAAAAACAAATCGAGTCAATTCATGCAAGATGGGATGATGGGACGACCTCAAACAATGCAACCCTGGACATGCGCCCTTGGAGGATAAAGAAAACCACTCTGCTGCCCCTCCATCGACCCCATCTTGGCCCGTAACCCTGCCAAACATTAGAATCTGCCCCCATCTGGACTTGTCAACCTGCTGTGCTTGCCCAAGCCAACACAAGAGGCTCCCTGGCCCAATCTAGCTCATCTTGCAAACTCCATCTAACCAGTGTGCTACTACACCTCCTACAGCTGCCTTTTTGGTTCCAAAACACTCGCTTTCTGTTATTCCTCTCCAGCTTATCCCAGGAAATGTGTTTGCCCACCTGAGCTCAAAGCACTGGTAGTCCGAACTACCTAGTTCGAGCCCCGTGTACCGAACTACCGGTACACCTCCTAGTCCGAACTACCTAGTTCGAGCCCCGTGTACCGAACTACCGGTACACCTCCTAGTCCGAACTACCTAGTTCGAGCCCCGTGTACCGAACTACCGGTACACCTCCTAGTCCGAACTACCTAGTTCGAGCCCCGTGTACCGAACTACCGGTACACCTCCTAGTCCGAACTACCTAGTTCGAGCCCCGTGTACCGAACTACCGGTACACCTCCTAGTCCGAACTACCTAGTTCGAGCCCCGTGTACCGAACTACCGGTACACCTCCTAGTCCGAACTACCTAGTTCGAGCCCCGTGTAGCCGCGCTACACGGGGTTCGAACCAGTGGGGATTTAAAAATGGCGGCTCCCCGCTTATGCTAATGAAGCCCGGGAAATTCAAATCCCGGGCTTCATTTGCAAGTGCGGTATGCCTACATTACCCTCCTAGTTTGAACTAGCGGGGTAGTGTAGACATACCCTGAGGTGTCACAGGACTGCTCGTTGGTACTCCAGCTCTGAGATTCTGCCCTCCTCAGCAAGTGCTCTACCCTGCCTCTTTCACCCCAGAGACCTTGTGCTGTCCCTGACGCTCCTCTGTAGATTCTCCCATCTTACCCTTTCTTCTTCTCTCAGCAGTGCACTTGGTGCTGTTTTGAAATGCAGAACCCACGGAGAGCTCTATGTACTGCATGAAACGGTTTGATCCCCCCTTCATCCTCAACACAAAGGACTTGACCACTACTCGAGTTCGTCTACAAACTGAGCGGCTCCTGACAATCTGTGCGGAGAGACTGCTGCCTCACATCCGACCGGCTCCGCACTCTCTCCATCTACACCCACCCTCCGATTCTGAGAGCACTCTGGGGCATAGTCAGTCACTTGCTCTGCGCTTGTCGTGGTTCATGACCAGGCCTCCTAGCTCTATGGCAAGTCAAACACCACAATACAAATAAAAGTGCAGAACAAAAGCATTCGCACAGGGAGTTCTTCAGGAAGAGCTGCTCCTGAATAGTTCCATGTGTAGGCAACATTTTAAGTCATTCTAGTTGAATGCTGTTCAGATGACCCACAATCAGAATAGGGTTTTACTCCAACTCCAAGCCTCAGCTTTTTCTAACAGCCACAATTACTTGCAGGGATTCTGCTTAGGACACAGCTCTGTGCAACGAGCATGTTGTACAATCCGATATTCCTAGCATAGAATGGCAGCAAAACTCTGCTTTTGAGGGACCTACCCTGAGAGGTCTAGTCTCCTACCAAAGCGCCACTCCTATTTGGACACATGCATGAGGAAGGAGAATGAGCCGATTCAGTGGCTAGACAAGTGATCTGAAGCTACACAAAAATACGTACAAATACTGAGGCTGTAAAGTCACATGCTCAAAAGTTAGAAAACGCCAGAATTAAGGTTGCCTGTGCAATATGCACTTAGTCCCCCCGTGACAGATCCGATGCCCTGGGGCATGGGGGAGAACTGGGACTGACTGGACAAAAACTGGGCAAGCAGCTGGGGCAAGGATGGGAGACTAGCGAGGAGCCGTGGGAGGGAGAGTAGCCAGGATCTATACTTGGAAGGCTCTGCTGGTCTGTGCTCCCAATGTGGGTGCAGCTGAGAGACCATATTGTGCTTCTGGCTCTGTACTCAGGGCTTTTCCCAACACCTCGTAGCACCTGACTGACGCAGCAAGACTTGAGCAAGTTTGTAGGCGAGCCACGGCCTCTGCCTCGGTGTTGGCAGGGGAGGGAGGAACGGGGAGACCGACTGGGCGAGGAACCAGGAGAAAGAATGGAAGTGACTGGGGAAGAAGACTGGTGACAAGGAGTCTGGGAAAGGGGAGGGGAAAAAGAAACTGAGGCTAGGATGGGAAGCCATGAAAAGGAGAGTAGGATTGAGTGGATAGGGGACAGTCTGGGACGAGGAGCCGGGGTGGGGAAGAAACAGAACTAGGCTGAAGACGTCTTGCAGTGAATCGGGCAAAAGGAATGAAAAGCTTGGGGAACAGGCAGGGGGACTGTGTCTTTGAGAATCCAAAAGAGAACCAAGTCGTTCCATTCCTCTGCTGTCAGCAACTATCTGTGTAACCTGCTGGCAAAACGTTCCGTCCCTCTCTAGAGCTGGTCCACAGAGAGGATGACAACCTACTACTAACAGTTACCACCTCAGCTCAAAGGCCAGAGTTCTGTGCACCAGCTCTAAGGTCCCAACCCTGCTGATGCCCTATGTGGATGTCGTCTGCACGTTATAGATTTTTTGTTCAGTTTCTTAAAAAAAAAAAATTATACACAAAAACCTGCACGAAAAGACTGTTAAGGTTGCAAAATCAAACACTTAAAATTTAGGAAATGCCAGAATTCATGGGGCCAGGAAGCCTTGAGTCACCATCCCCCATTATGTATATGAATGATGATTTGTCTTAGAAGGATTAGATCTGTAATCAGTAAACACTAATTTCAGTGCATGCAACCAAACCACAAAAGTATTTCTATCGACACTGAACTTTGAAGAAAGAAAAATGCTGCTTTGAGGACTCAGTTTGATTTCAGGATATTTCATTTCTATATTTTGACAAGTGATGTTGACAGTTTATGTTTTAATTGTTACAATTATTTAACTTTTTGAATCTCAATGTCTGGTCTCCTTTAATAATTATCAGACGCCCTAACCCATAATTTTCCTCAAGAGTGGAAATTTAAATAGAGAAAAATTAAAGCAGGTTCACAAAAGTCTGTTATCTGCTGAATTTGTATAATCGTCAAATCCTGCCGAGCCTACTGATGAAGCTGTTTTTAATAACCTAATCCCAGACTATTTACAGGAGCCCTGCCTAATTCCGCACACAGGCTGGGCCTGCTCTGGGCCAAACCAAGAAGGCTGTCTACTGGATCCCTGCCTCATTTACTGCAGGCACTGGAGGGGGAGAAGGAATTGGCAGGGAACTGCAGGGAAAGAAAGGATGGTCACATGATTAAAGCTGTTGAATGCTACCCTGGAGAATGGGATCCTACCCCGGCTCTTTCACAGAGGTGAATTCCGCACACAGGCTGGGCCTGCTCTGGGCCAAACCAAGAAGGCTGTCTACTGGATCCCTGCCTCATTTACTGCAGGCACTGGAGGGGGAGAAGGAATTGGCAGGGAACTGCAGGGAAAGAAAGGATGGTCACATGATTAAAGCTGTTGAATGCTACCCTGGAGAATGGGATCCTACCCCGGCTCTTTCACAGAGGTGATGCTGGGGGGGGAGGAAGCTGGGGGTGCCTGGCTCTGCAGGAGGGGGAGG